TTGAAATTGTAGTAATATTTAATGAGATGACTAATTATTTGATGGTATGGATAATAATTTGGGTCACCAATAAGTTTTAACTTCTCGGGCATTTTGCACTGCAATAGTTCTAAGCCTATTTTCAACACCTATCGAAATAACATGGTAATACTCTCTCTCTCTCTTAATTGAATTTTATTTATTCATCTTATCCTTTAGTGATGAGAATGCTCGATATCTAGTTCCCATTATTTTTCTCGGGCTTTCTCTTCATCTTGAAAAGTTTCATGGCTTATCATTACCCAGAGTATTAGCTTTAGTTGGGGATTAGGATTATAAGCCTATTTTGATTTTTCTTCGTATTGCATCGACTGCTTATCTTTATCCACATTATAAATCACTTATTTTCCTTTACTTGGCCTAAGAGAGGATGTAATATAGATTTTATCCTTCTTAGAATCCAAGTTATTAACATTCTTAGGCTTATCAGAGCGGCCTTCCAATCTTAACAAATTTAGCTTTATGAAATTGGTCACTTAGTCCAATAGGTCATGAAATGTGGGGATTGCAACTATGCATAAAAAAGGTTACATCTTATCATCGATGTTTTCCATCAGTAACTACATGGTGTGTTTTTCTTCAAGTTGATGCTCACATTTGATACTTAATTTTTTCCCATGAGTAATGGTTTTTGGTAATTGATTTGTCCCTTTTTCTCTTATCTAGGGTGATGTCAGCGATCGTTATCTTTTTAGTCGTGCTAGTGAACCTCTTTACGAACATTGATTCTAACTCTGCGAATGTATTCATAGAGTCATTTGGAAACTCAATGTACCATTTGAAAGTAGCTACTGTCAAACTGCTAATAAACTATTAAAAGAGTAGGGCATCATTTCCTCCCATATTTCCGTAAGTAGAATTGAATTCTACCAAGTGCTATTTAGAGTTGTTATTACCATTGAATGCATTAAACATTCAGATGGAATACCCCTTTAGGTATGACACTTGGTCATATTATGTGGGGTACAAGTGACCTTTGCCCACCAGTTTCTCTATTTGTTCAATGAATATAATAGCTTTAACTCTTGGTGATAATTCCCTCTAGATGTGCCGTTATCATAGGCTTGGAGGTACTAGAAATAATTTGTGGAGTGGGCTAACATGTGATATTATGGAACTCATGAGCACCTTCAAGAGTGCCCTGTACTTCTAAAACTTGAGGTATTTGGAGGTTAGGAGGATCAGTCGGAGGACGAGGTGCAGGACCTACAGAAGTAGTTCTATGCATGATCGATTTATATAACTATTATTATTTGGGTCATCATCTCAGTCATCTTCTCATTTAACTGAGAGAACTCCTTATCCTTGGCCCTCATTTGTCATCTCATATATCTTTACATGTCTATAATCATGCATTCTTGGCATCAAGAGGATTCTCTTGAAAGGCTTCTTCTCATTCTTCTTCCAAAGAGTGGCCGCCTCTATCGGCAATGAACCTAGTCTCATGATGGCGCTGGTGTACTTGTCTGGGCTATGGCTACTAATTTTCATCGTATTTACTATTATTATAATCATCCCCATCATTGATGTTTACATGTCTCACCATATAAATGAATTCAATGTTCATGGAATACTCTTCTTCCTCCTCCTCTTCCTCTTATACTCGGATATCCTAGTGGTGACATCACTAGATCTCTAGTTTATTATTGGGCAAGAAGATTTCCTTGACCCATGGGCTGTTGTCGAAGTTGATTTATTCCTTTAACAGGATTGGCAAATGACGGGATCTCCTGAAGGATTATCCAGGGATTGAGAGTTGTTGTTGAGCCCGAAGCTCAATATTTTTCTCTCTTTTGCCTTCTTTTGAGCCTTCCTCCTGATGAGGATGCACCTATGTAAAGCTTTCTAGGTGAAGGTAACCTGGTTGGAAGGGTAGTAGTGTTGGCAGTCACCACTAAGACTTTCCCACCAATCACAATCCTTTTAGTGGTCGGGGCTTTTGGCTGTGATAATCATTCTAATACATAAACCCTCTCATGAGAATTTTCTACAGCATTAGTGGCTTGCCACCTTGGCAGATATGTGCAGCATATAAAAGCTTCAGTATTAGGTCATTGTGCTGGCAGATGCGTGTGATGTGTAGAAGTTTCATAGAATGGGACCATCTAGTTGGCTTATCAAAATCCATGCCGCATATAGGGACAACAACATCCCTTATAGAAGATGCAGGGAATTGTAATCAACTAAATTGGATGGTGGCTCTAACGTTTTCTATGTTGATGGCAATGCTTTCTACTTGGAAGCTATCACCAAGTCCGAATTGAACAGTAAAGGAAGTATTATGTAGATTTATTTCATAAATAAAAAGTAAGGATTGGTAATCAGCACCTAAAACATAACCCCACATTTTTAAAATATAGAGACTTGCATAGAATGTAATAACAAAGCAGATAATAAAAGATAGTAATTTAAAAAAAATATTAAACCTTGCTTAATGAAAATTTCTGTGAATTTATTAGGCGATTATTTTTTAAAATACTTTAAATTTTGATACATTAAATGATTGTTATGAGAAATTTATAATTTTGAGCCCAATTTGATTAGCTGCTTCTATAATGCTTAGATAATTAGCCAAAGATGGAAAGATAAATAAAACCCAAGTGGAGCTGCTAGAAATCTATGGCTTCAAAAATTTGTGCCCCGACCTCCTTTTTTTGGGGGAGTTTTAACAGACTAAGTTTTAGGATAAATTTTTAGAAGACAAATTGGGTTTATAGATATGACACTTCCTAGAGATTTCGCCCTCATTTTGTGAGGACTTTATGATCTTAGTTCTGGTTTCCTATAGACACAAGCCCTTATAGTTAATTACCCCTCCCGGTAATGAGAGAGAACTTTCGATTAAGGTTAGTAGTCAATCAGATATAGAAATTTGCATTATCTGATATATAATGGAAGCATAATTTTAGGTGTTGAAAGATTTGATATCTAAAATTTAAAATTTCACAATCTTTCAGTTAAAGTAAATGTGGGGGACTATCAAGATCCCATGGTTCCATTATCCCAGGTCATCATGATCCCTGCTCTACTTAGTTAGAGGAGGTATTCGACCCAACCTGACAGAAGGATCCTTGTTAGCAGCCATGTGTTCATTCGTCCAAAGGGACCTTGGAAACCTAGGGTGAATATTTTTTAAGGGGACAAATTTGAATCCACTTTAGCTAGTTAATAGAGAACTTTGTGTCATATTGATCATGTCCTATTGATTCATATCTCAAGAATTTAGTGTAATTGTGGAGCTTATGGGCTCTAGTTAGAATCATAATTTAGTGGTTTCATTTAGCAGCAAATTATCCAATTCAGAGGGCCCCAGTCATAATCGTTTACCTACGGTGCCATTTGGAGGTAATACTGTCAGTTAGATGACACATGCCATGTCCTTACTGATAAGAGTATGTTTGAGAATGAATTCTAGTTATATTCTAGACCACATATTAACTCTTTATGAGTTTAAGTAATATTTAAATTTATTCATCTTGGCTAACTATTATGGAGGCTCCATATCATGACTTTGTAGTCAAGTTATATTTCTTACAATCTTCTTAGCACTTGCAAATAGATTGAACGTGCAAGTTCTTTATTCTTAGGGATAGCTTATAACATGCTTACGAGCATGGCATTCATCATTTGTTTGATATTCACATTTCATCTAGCATGAAGGTTTTCAGCACTTGTGGAAAACTCTATATGCTATTGGCTGTAGGCATGTTGCCATATATACCACTCATTTAAATCTTGCATCCAGATCGATTTGATTAAAAGTTTAAGCCATTTTAAAATCATCATTCCTTGCTCATAAGATTATTCTCATTTGGATGATGAGGATTATTTAACATCTATATTTAAACTTTTTAATTCATGATTTGCATTTTTGTTAATTATTTGGGTCGATTTTTCCTGCGGTCCATATCAGATTCAATGTTCAGTTTATCATTCATTGGTTCGATCTTGAGTCCTCTGTAAATCATTTAACCTAGTCCTCTGCTTTTGTTCAAGTTATGCTTAATTGTTTAAGTTCTATTTGAGATCCCTATTATTCAAAAGTCTACAAGCCAGTCACCTGTAATTGTTCAAGTCATATGCATTTTCAGACATAATTTCGCCAGCCTCCCGATGTCTTCTCCATTTAAGGGAAACTACAGGAGTCTGAGCTTCCTCCATGCTAGAGAAAAGAATGTATGGTAGGTGTCAGATGAAGGAATTAGGGATGTTCAACTGCTACAGGCGAATGGATCATATGTGTGGAATCGACGATTAAGGTCAAAGAAGAAGCAGCGGGTCAGACGGAGGCTTATGTTGGCTTTGAGAAACGAAGAGGAGGCCAGGCTAGGGTTGGAGGGAAGGTTTTCTACGACTATGAAGAGGAGGCGAAAACAGAGAGATGTTTGCGGGTGGATTAGGGCTTCGGTAGTGGGAAGCGAACAGAAGAAGAAGGCAAAGGCGGAAGCTGCGAGCGGTATCGTGAGCGTGAAAGAGGACGAATGGGTGTCGAAGGCTTATGGGATTTGAAAACTCGCGTGCATGGGTTTGAAGGTCAGGATGAAGGGGTTCGGTCTGTAGGTCGGAAGTAATGCTCGGTTCGCGAGGATTCGGTCATGAGATTGAATACAGTCGGCGCTTTCATGAATTGAAGAGGTAAAAAATAGCGAAGGCTTTGTTTAGTAGTTGCTTTTATCAACGCAAATGGAGGAGAATCGAGGCGAAGCACTCACGGTCGATTACAAACGGTGCCGAATGCAAGAGATGGGTTGTAGGAGGCGGGATTTGGGCATGGGCAGTGACAAGTAATAATTTTAAGCTTTTTTTTTGTCTTAAAATAATACTTATTTTATATTTCAAAAAATCAAATAAAAATAATCTTAGAAGAACTTATCTATGTGTTGCTTTGATTGAGAAAATAGATATTTGAAAAGCTTATCAGGATAACAACAGCAGAAATAAAATATTTATCAACTGCTGACCGTTTAAGCTGAAGCGAAACTTGGTGGAGTTGATAATTTTGTAGTCCTCGGGATTGGACTTATGGAAGATCTCCATCTCAAATGTCTTTACCAGCCGCTGCACCTTTTCCTCTGAAGATCCCTTCGCCCATTCCTGGAGGAACAAAAATGCAACGATATTTTATGAATCAAAATTTATTCAAATTTTTTTTTTTAAATTACAACACTTAAATATTAAGATATTTATATTTTCATGGACGTGTGGACAGTTTTTTACTTAAAAAAATTACAATAAAAAACTATTTTAAAAAGAGCTAAAAAAACTGTCTCAATTGGTGCCTTAAAAATATTAAAACTTTTATAGACTACCTTATTCTTTTTTTTTTAATGCTGTTATACAGAAGTTAATTTGCAGTACAAATTTAGGCTACAGTTTTTTTCTCTATTTTCTACTCAACTTTTTAGGACAAAATTTCATGAAAGTAACAAAAGCTACCCCAAGCGAAGCTTCAGAGAACTTTCTTATTGATTAGGAAATAAATTATTTAATAAAATTTTTTTATAAAAATTGTTGCTTTTAAAGTAAAAAGAAAGTTGTCCCAAGAGAAGTCTAAGCTTTGTTTGGAAAAGCTTTTGGCCACTAATTTTTTATTGTTTTAATGAAGTTTTTATGTTAGAAATCTATTTTAAAAAGTAGTAAGAAAGTTATTCCAAAGGAAGCCTTGTCTGAAAATTGTGACAGTTTATTCTGAAGAGAGATTTTATCACTTTTTTCATAAATTTCAGGAAAAAATATTAGGTGAAGCAACGTACAAACTAACAAATTTTCTTTCTACTGAAAAAAAAGAAAAAAAAAAAAGAATTTCTCATAGAAATTGTATAAGGAACTCATCATCATCACTCATCTCTATAAAATTAATGTAAGCACAATAACATATCCATGGCATTAATCAGCTAATGTAATTGCATCCGACATTCTATACAATGAAAGAAAAAAAAAATTCTTAAACAAAAGCCTTAAAAAGAGAAAGAGGAAGATTTCATACATGTGTGCGGCCTTCTTCAAAGAGCTTGTTGACGACATCATAGTTAGGAGGGGAGCCGAATCTCCACTGTGTATTCTTCTCTCCATCTCCGTAGATGAATGATCGGTACTTGTCTTCTGATCCCATTCTGCTTCAACAAGAAGACGATGGAGAAGAGCAGCAGAATTGAAGCTCGCTTCAAGTGGGTATAATAGCTTTCTTAAATGAAGTTTATAATAAAATTTTCCCAACCACGCGAAACTTGTCCAAACAGCATTACCACATCAGTTTGACCATCCAACTTCACGTTGACACACGTTTTTCTTTTGTACAAAAAAAAAAAAAAAGTACGTTAGATTCTCTTGGTTCAGCCGCCCGCGTGCTATGAGAAAATCTGCCGGTTTTTTTCATTTATTTATTGCAAACAGATGTTCCACAGATTACATCATTCTTGCTTCTGAAATTCTTAGGGATTTCAAGAGCTCTCAAAAGAATTTTTGTGCTAAATTTGATATCAAAAAAGTTTTTGATTCAGTCTCTAGGGAATTCCTGATTGCTAGGCTTCTTCAGAAGGGCTTTCCTGAAGTTTTTGTATCTTGCATAAAAGGTTGCATATCATGTCAATGCCTCCAAAAGCTCTATCATCTTCTCTCATAATGTCTCTGTGAGGCATCTTATTTGTGAGATTCTTGGTATTAATCAAGTCAACAATTCCCTTATTTACTTGGGTATTCCTATATCCTCTAAAAGGCTTAAAACATCTCACTTTCAACCACTATTGAGCAAAATTTTTGCTCTACTTGATGGTTGGAAAAACAAGTTTCTCTCCTTTGCAGGTAGAGTCCAATTTCTTAAATTCACCATCTCAAATACTATAGCGTACTGGATTAGAGGAGCCATAATACCTAAGTCTTGTTGTGCCTCTATTAACAAGCTTTGTTCGAGATTTCTTTTCCACAGTAATCTTCTGGAGAGGAAATTGCACCTCATTTTCTGGTTTAAAGTCACTTTGCCTAAGCATTATGGTGGGCTCGGTATTCCCTCTATTGAGGCTTTATATCACGGGGAGTTCTGCTTCATCATTGGAAGATTTTATAATTCTCAAAACTCATTGAGTAGCTGGTACAAAGCAAAATTCATCTCTCCTTGAAACCAACCCCTGCCTCTGCATCCAAATTCTGGAAGAAAATTAGTGCAACTGCTTCTAAAATTAATGATTCTATCTCCTTCTCTATGTCCCAAGCTAGCAATATATCTTTTCTTTGGGACCCGTGGCTTAATGGCATGATAATTGCAGAACATTTTGTGATGCCGAGTTTTGTTGATAAACTTGTGAAGGATTTTATTATTCATGACACCTGGAATCTCCCTTCTAATACTCCAGCTGCTCTGTCTGTAGCTATCATGGCTATGGAACTCAAAGAAAACTCTGGTATTTTATGGAATGGATCTCCCAACTGGTTTTTTAAGGCATCCATTAAGCAATTTCATTCACATTTACCTAAGGTTGATTGGTTTGGGTCCATCTGGCACAAAAAACATTCCCTTAGATATGCTTGCTTTACCTGGATGGCTTTGATTGGGAAACTAAAAATAGCTGACAACTTGCTTTTTAGGGGTATCCAGGTTGCCCCGCAGTGCTCCCTTTGTTTTTGCTTGGCTGAGAGCCACAATCACTTGTTCTTTGAGTGTGATTTCTCTTTTAACATTCTTAAATTCATTCTACCTGATTTTAATGGTTTCCTGTTGAGACCCAACTTAGCTCAGGTTTTTGAATTTATTAGCCAATTTGATTTGTATAGCAAAAGCGAGAAGGATTTTTGCTGCTTAACTGTTAGCTGTATTTTATGTCACATCTAGCGTGAGAGAAATTGTCGTCGTTTCTCTAATCTGAGTACAAATTCGGTTAAACTTATTTGCAATATCACTGATGTCATTCAATTAAAATTTTCAAAATGGAAAAACAAAGACAAACTTTTGCTAAGGTTTACTGGCATTTAATCTTACGTGAAATTTTATTTTTCTTATGGCTTTATTGGATTATCCTGATGGCTGAGATCTATTCTGGATGCTGCTGCTGTAATGGGAATTCCGGATTTTTGGGAGCTCTAGTTGCTCCAGCTTTTACTTTCAATTTTGTTTCAGACCTGGGAAGAACATTTTGGGACTGTGGTTGCTTCTCCCTTTCTGTTAAGTCCAGTTCGTTTTTTGAAGAACATGGTGCTCATTTCTTGGGTTTACTGTTATGGCAATTTTTGCTCAGTGGGCTTATACTGCTGGGGACATTTTTACAATCAGACGATGATGTGCAGGGCCAGTTCCTTACTGGTGCCGTTGATGGACTGTGTGGCAACCGGGCACGTTTCTTGTCTATGGCTGGAGACTCTGCAATGGCCTTCTCCTCGATCGGATGTTCACTGTTATTCTCAGGCAACCGGAGCCGCTGCCTGGACTTCGTGGGTTATAACCTGATGGTTCTGATGATTGGTTCTGGTCCTTTTAATTACTGAGTCTTTTTCATTGTAATGTCTCTTTGTTGTAGCCCTGGACAAGTTTTGCCTTTTGTTCTTGTTTTCTGTTTCCTTCTTCCTTACAGGTTACTTGTAATTGTAATTGAATTTTATTTTTAATACATGGGCTTTTGCCCCGGGTTTACCCAATATATAAAAAGTCTTTTTTGTCGTAGTTCATTGTGGCGATTTATAAACTGCTAATATTAGAAGTACTTTTAATTTCTTCTAATAGCGGCAGTCATAACTGCTCTTAAAACCAACATTTAAACTGCTAACATAATGCTTATTTGAGCTTACTCCAAGCTCTAATTCCTTGCTTCTCTCCTGTGGCTGCAGTGGCGGAGCCATAAAATTTATCAAGGGGGGGCCTAAATTATTTTAATAAAATTTTCCCTGAACTTTTTTCATCCAGGTTTGGGACCAGTATAGACAGTTTTAAATTTTTTTTATTAATAATTATTCATAAACATATAATATTAAATATAAGATAGTAAACAACTTATAATTTATAATGTCTAATCTTCATATTCTGAAAGAGTTGAATGCTAATTTCATTATCAATAGAATTCAAAATTTCTTTTTCAACATAAGCAATTAATAAATCATTCATCCATTGATCGTCAATCCTATTTCACAGTCGATTTTTTATAATATTCATGGCATAAAATGCTCTTTCAATGCCTGCTATAATAACGGGTAATACCAATACCAATTCCAGTAGTTTAAAAACAACATGATATATTATATCCTTCTTACTTTGGATCATTTTCTCAGCAAGACTTCCAACATCTATTAATGATGTGAAGTGATCATCAGATCGCATATCCATGATAGAAGTATCCAATTTATTTTCAAAAATCGTCTGATCAAGAAGACTAAAATAAGTTGAATAAACTGTGTCATTTGAATCAACTTACCTTTGTTGAATGCATGAAATCCTTTATTAGGATTCAAACATGTCATGCACAACAACAATTTGGTATTTACTTCTGTTAACTGATTATATATCAAGCACTGTGTAAAAAATTTCAACTCGGAAATGATATAAATTTTTTATATCTTGAGCTCTACGGCATGGCCGACCACGAGCAACCCATTTGTCTTCCATATGTGGAACATTGATTTTCTGTTGCTCACATAATGAGATTAAATTACTGATGAAGTCAGTCCACTTATTATAACTTATATTCTATAGTCTTTTTTACATATACGCATCAAAGACATATCATTAACAATATATTGTTCTCCTCTCTATAAAGCTTGTGATAGTTCATTAGTGATACCAATAATATCTTTCATAAAATGTAGGCTAAAGGTAAACTCAAAGGTCTGTAAAGATTCTAGCTAATAAAGCATATGCCTCACCTTTTTGTTCAGAGCTTAAGCCATCTTCCAAAATAATTTCTTAAATATCAATTACTCAAGAAAACATTGTTATTAATATTATAATTGATTCGTAGTATGAAGACTCATCATGTCCTTAGAAAGCTGGCCTTGCTTCAAAAGAAATCTTATGCAATCAACAGAAGTATTGAGGCGAATACGATATGCAGATGTAGCTTGATCTGTTTGCTTTGTGAACACAAACCCAATATGTTGACTCTGTTTCAGTAGGTCTTCAGAACTACATCTAGCATTATTATGCACACTATTATGACCTCGTACATGAATATCAAATTTGTTTATTTTTTTCCAATTCAGAAATCTATTTTTATTAAATGCTTCTTCATCTTCATTGCCTCTACCTGGTTTTCTGAGCAGATAACAATAAAGATAGTATGATTTGTCTTTGCTTATGCTATACTCTAGCCAATCTGAATACTTGTCAAGCCAAGTATGATTAAATCATCTGCCTTTCATCCCGAATTTAGTTTTAGGAAAATTATAACTATGAGGTTGAAATGGCCATCGTTGTAAATATACTCTCCGAACTTTATCCCGAATGTTAAGATTAAAGTCAACAATGGGAATTCGTAGTCCTGGACCAGATGAAAGATTTTCAACACTTACTATATTGTTGGGTAAATTAGCATTCACTCGAATATGCTTTTTTTATGATCTTCAACCCGATTGCTATTGTCATTTGATGTTTTTGGAATTGAAGTTCGTTTGAAACATCTCTCTATAATATTCCAACTCAAAGATGCCTTAAGATTAATCTGATTATATATCTATTCAAAAATCAATAAATAAAACTTATAAAATCAACTTTATAAATGCAAAGAAACAAACAATAAAACTTATAAAATCAAACAAAATAAAATAGATTTTTTCCTTTGCAAATTATGACCAAACATCCCCAAAAAATTTCTCAAATTTTCATATTTTACTTCTAGCAAAAAACTAAGGCATGATCCATCTTTTCATAAAACTAAATTAATATCAATTGCAG